AGAGGATGGTTCTGGATTGTCCATTATTTGTCGATGATTAGCTTGAAACAAAGACCAAAGGTTTTCCAAGCTCACCTTTTTCCCTTGTGCATAACGAACCGATGCCGTAGTTGCAATACTGCCTTGACATTTGTTCCACACCCGACGATACGAGTCGAAATACAAATTCTGTTGTTCGATCAATTGTTCAACGGTTTTGCTCTGCCGCGTGTTAGCCATTGTGCTGTGCTGTAATCTCGATATTACTGCAAATTCCCACAAACCCGTGAAATGCCGACTATCCGGCTCGAAGGACCAATGTTGGGTCTGGTGGGAATGATATTACGAAAATCTTTAGTTTATCAATGAACTGCGACGTTTTATTTCAAAAAGTTTTATGACAAAATTTGTACGACTTCAACTATTCCAAAACGGTTAAGATACGATACATTTTAAAAACGTTCCCAAAACCCAAGACTAGTGATACTAGAAAATCCCTAGCATGTATGGTCGATGTTTAGAACCATGCTTGAGGTCCACAGCACCTCTGGTGGACAAACCAGGCGGCTTGTTTTTCCCCAGACGAGAAGCATCTAGGGAACTTAGTTTTATATAGTTTTAAGGAATGAGTGAGTTTGAACACGAGGCAGTTAATTCTTCTTTGTCCGTGATACGCAATTATTAATAATAAAGAAACTTTGATCTCTTAGACTTGGTGTTCCAATAGACCGATTATGTCACCTATCTGCACCCTGGATTGCCGTGAATAAACAGTTACGATACGATTGTTTCAAAACGTGCCCAAACCCCAGACTAGTGATATTAGAAAATCCCTAGGATGTATGGTCGACTAGGGATATTCACGTCGGGTATCTTCTTCCTTGGAGGACTAGGGAATTCCGAACAACAACAATTTGGCAAATCCATGACGTCATCAAAGTTACTAGGCACTGATCGTCGCCACTATCGTTTTCGCGGCAGATTCGACTGCGTGAATTTGGCTAGGTGGGTTCGTTAGCCACCAAAGCTCTGATGAGCACTCCAACGGTGTTCAATCCTCTGTAGATACGTTGATTTCTGGTACGATGATGTTATGGGTTTTCAACTGAATAAAGGCTTTAGAAATAAAAATGCTATATGCACTATAACTATGCTATATGCACTATAACTAACTTTATTTACTTTAATTATAATGTGATTTAGTCTAAATCAATCTATCTTAACTGAATCTAGCTAATTGACTCTACGATATAGAAGTACACGCTTCAACACCAGAAATCGAACTGTCTTCTGGATCCCAAAGGATACAGTCCTTCATACTTCTCATGCATGCATCCGCATTCATACACATTCATACGTACTACCCTTTGTGGAGGGCCAGTGTGTGGCGTCTTGCTGTCCGTTCCCAAGATCGAGGGTCTTGTCTTACGCACAAAGGGCTCATGCACACCCTATCCTTAGCTTATTTGGGGAAGCACATGGACAACGTCATCTCTTACTCGATTTATTGCCAGGAGTGAGAGTTCCTGAGAAACTCACTCAATTAGGATAGCAATAAACAAATAGCCCATGCTTACATTCTTTGTAGCCCATATATTTATGCACGTGTAGCGGCTAGAAAGCTTTCTCCGAATTGTTTAGAATATACTTTATTTATGCGTTAATGGCAGACTGAGTATTTGAAAGCATTGAATTCTGATTTGGAGACAGAAATCGTAATTTACGACTGCAAGACGTCATCAAGACATCTACCGAATTTTATGGACGTCTTGAAATTTAACTAAAAGACGTTGCAAAGACATCTGCAAGACATCTTATGTCCCAAAAATTCATGTCTTGAAGTCGTCTTACAAGAACAAGAGTAGGAAATCTCATGAAAGACGTAGTTTTAAGGTAGGAAGAGCGGGAAATTTGAAATTGAGATCTATTGCAAAAGATGATTAAGCTCATACTTAGAAGAGTATTAAGAGAATTTGTAAAAGGTGCTCTATGAACTCTTTATAAATTCTCCTAATAGATTTCCATGTATCAGTTTAATCATCTATTGCAACAGATGCAGTTACAATAAATGCATACTTCTTATTTCATTAATAATCGTTCTATATTTGCATCAATACAAATCTATTTTATATTGAATTAATTTAAAGTCTTATATTAACAATCACAGATATTAATCATCACGTTTTAAGAACTACGAAACGAAGCCAACGAAAGCGAGTTGACGGTCCGTGAAATAGCTGTCAGTGATCGCAATGTTGCCAATACAAATATCATACGGCATGTCATACGAGTCGCATCATCGTTCCACGAGACCGCATATTATATGAATTATATGAAATAATCATATGAAAAATAAGAAATAGAAATTCTGACATAGAAGTTAGATGATGTCGATAGAATATCGCGTGACGCTATTGTAGCCAATCACGAGACAGCTAAAAAATCAGATATTAATCTTGACATTTTTAAGGAATATATGAACACAAAAATCTATAGTTAAAATAAATTAACAAAGTGAAGAGGAAGTAAGTAACAAAAAGTAGTTTTAAATAAGTCAAAGAAGAGGACTATTTTTCCATCGCTTTGGAATCCTTCTTTCGCTGGTATCAAAGAATAGTTGCAAAGAATAGTTAGTTGAAAGATCACATGCGACGACGAGACGAATTTTAGTTTTATATCACTCAATTGAGGTGAAGGACGGTAGGGATAACAATTACCGATTATTCCATCGACAATTTTGTGTTGCGAAATCTTGTGGTTTTCTTCATTCCAGTCCACGAATACCGTACCGCTACCTCGTCAGTGAAGACAGCTTTCAATGCACTTCGAACGGCAGTTTCGGGATTATTGCGCCACCGATTCTACCAATCTTCGTTTTCTCAAAGTCAATAGGTACACTATGATAGTGAAAATAATTATAAAATAACAGCGAGCTTTAATTTCAATTGAATTTAATATTTACGTATAGCTCCAATAGAGACTCGTCCTCCTTCAACTTTTTTTCAAAGTCTTCAACAGCCTTAATCAATTGCAGCGGAAAACTTTCTAGTCGTGAGAAGTCGATCACGTTAGCCTTTCCTACCTTGTAATCAGAAGCGTTAAGTAGTTCGATGATTTCATTCAATTTATGCGGTTTACATTGATCTGAAATCATATATTTGTATTCATTAGACGTATCGACCATATTGAAATGTCCTACGAATTAAGCGTAGCCACTAAAAAAAGCTTACCAGAACACACGTTTCGTCGCACATTTCTACACACTCCTACATCTTTCTGATTGATCGGCTCCATTCGACGATCGTAAGAAATAATCTCTTCACTAGATATTTTAATGTTATGTAAATCCAGTTAACGTAAAATCTTATTATAATATTTGTAGATTTATAGTCACGTGTTTTCTAACGGTTCCCGACCTTCAGTCGAATTGTTTGAATAATTGGATGAATTATTATTCTGATCGTCATCTATCATTTTCTTTGCGCTGTCATTCAATCCCTCGAAATCTGACGAGTAATACGTTCCTCGTTCTACTGCTTCTTCCAGCAATAAGTCGTCGTCGAGTATCTCAATATTATCGTAGTCCATCTTTTCGTCTTGTGAATCTGGATTGACATCAGCATACACGAGCATCTGATTTCTACTAAATTGTTCGATAGTGACATCATCTCCTGCATTATTTAAATGCAAGTGTAATATAAAAATTTCATTTCAATATGTGTATTTGTTAAACACATATATACATATATTTATTCTTAAACGATAGAACCAAGTTTCTGATGGTTGTACATACCAGTATCGATAACATCATTGAAAGACACATTTTTCGTGCTGGTACTGGAACGTCGATTGTCGAATCTTGGGATTTTCGAGCTTGCGGCTAGGGCTGATTTTGTACAGTACTGTTCAACTGTACAATATCACTGTAATTCTTGGCTGGAATAATGATGAAGGGCAGATAAGTCGTTAACTTTTGTTGATTGTTTATAGCTGAAATAGATAGAACACAAGTTAATATGAATTTGACAGTCATCTGAAAGATATTGAAGAGCTAAAATACAAACCATCTTGTTCCTGGTGATCTGCAGCACGTTTCTTGACGTTCGAGAGTTTCTGCATGCTCTGTACCTTTCCACTCGACAGATTAGGATAAGATGATTTGTCCATTGTGAAACTTTTGTTCTGAGTGAAACGTTGTTTCATTGTGGTGGATACTGACAAACCAAGATGTGAATTACACTAGATGGATGTAATCCAATGAAAATTGCGTGACCATTCCAAGTCCCAATTCTTCAAAAGGTGAATTATCTAGGTGATGCTGTATTTGAGTTCTATCTTTGAAGTTTACATCAGTTCTCAGCTTGCAATCCATCTCAAGAAATACAGTTGTCCAAGTTATACGGGTGCCACGTGCGAAACATTTTTCATAGCCGTAAAATCCATTGTAAGGTTTCGTACAAGTAGCAAGAGACCATGCTGGCGAGTCAGTGATAATAGCTCTGATCCTTATTGAATAATGGTCTTCATCAAAATCAAAGCCATCAACAGCAAGCCTTGAGCATTCCTCGCAGAACTGGTGTAGGTATTCAGATATAGATTTCAGTTTTTCATAGAAAGCCTGTGCACCAACGAAGAATGATGTTTCAAAATCTGAGCTGTAGATTTTACCCATAATTGGCCATAATTGGAGCTTGGAACTTTTCAATATAGTCACGCCATCCAGATGAATATCAATTAAAATCTCTCTAGGTCTATTGCACCTTACAACATTTTGATACTCCAATCAGGGGGGGACACTCCAAATAGGCTATAGTGAAGCATAGATTAGTGATATAACCTACCCATAAGGTGGCGCTGCTGCTCGTCCTAACAGTCTAAAGCATGGGAGTGCCGTGTCTCCAGTAAGTGGTCTGTGACTCCAATCAAGAGACTCGGTCGAGTCTCGCGTCAAGTACAGGCAACCGGCTGTACAGGGCACAGCTCGCCGAGACTCTTTACTTGATTCAACTCTTATACCTGTGTTTGGAACGAAATATCTTATTAACCGCTATACATGAGAAAAAGTTGTTGATACATTCACTATAGGAATTGAGGGTCCTGAATTGATTGCCACCACGTTCAATACGATTAGTATACGAGATCAGGGCGTATTGAGATGGCAAGCGAGATGATTTTATTTCAGTTCCGTCGTCGTCGTCGTCGTCGTCTTCGCACGTCCATCGCATTTTTTACACGACAGATGGCGCTGACTGCTGTGCCTTTGTGGCGGTCCGCACGTCCCTGCAGCTGTCTCGCTCAGCGGCCGCCGCAGAAGCCACGGCGCTCTAGTCAATCCTCGAACGGGACGCCACAGCTCTAGTCTCGAGTCGTCTCCATGAGAACGACGTGCGCGCAAGGTGGTCGTCGCCATCTTTATATTGAAATACTGCGCGTGGATTAATAGTTCCTAGTTTATATCATTTGGCAATAAAGAAAATCTTGAAAAAACACGCATGCTTAGTCACCCACACTTATCCTTAGCCGATAAAAAAAACTAGCAACGACACCTTCTTTACCTATTTGTACTCTGTATGGTGTTAGTAATTTACGAATACACAACACAATCAAATACACTTTATATGTGAAGCTACCGTTCATACCGAATTTCCAGTTAGTATAAGGGTGCTCTCACAACAGTAAAGAATTATTAAGTTTTTAATAGCATTCATGTGGAGCGCGCGTGTATGGATGTATGTATATGCGTGCTTCGGCATAGTTCCCCGTATTTTATGTGACAGTTTTTAGAGATACAGGATGTCCAGGTGTTCCTCTCCGTAGTTTCCTGTATCTAGGTGGCGGACGTGGAAGTCCAGGGTGTCCAAATGTTCCGCTCCGTAGTTTCCTGCATCTAGGTGTCAGACGTGGAAGTCCAGGGTGTCGAGATGTTCCGCTCCGTAATTTCTTGTATCTAGGTACTGGATGTGGAAGTCCAGGGTGTCCAGGTATTCCGCTTCGTAGTTTCTTGTATCTAGGTACTGGATGTGGAAGTTCAGGGTGTCCAGGTAATCCGCTCCGCAGTTTTCTGTGTCCAGGTACTGGATGTGGAAGTCCAGGGTGTCCAGATGTTCCGCTCCGTAGTTTCTTGTATCTAGGTGTTAGATATGGAAGTCTAGGGTGTCCAAGTGTTGCGCTCTGTAGTTTCTTGTATTTAGGTGTTGGACGTAGAAATTTAGAGTGTTCAGAAAAGTGTGCAACGAGCGACGCTTTGGCGCTTCGCTCAAAAAATAGTATCCTCTCTGTTGTTCGCACGGCCTGAGGTACATAAATAATCCAGCACACTTTCCTCTCTTACGATTACTACACGGCTTCAACAAGCTAGACACCATTAACGACGCTTATATGCACTGAAGGTTACATTTTCTTTAAAAGTAATTTACGAATACACAACACAATCAAATACACTTTATATGTGAAGCTACCGTTCATACCGAATTTCCAGTTAGTATAAGGGTGCTCTCACAACAGTAAAGAATTATTAAGTTTTTAATAGCATTCATGTGGAGCGCGCGTGTATGGATGTATGTATATGCGTGCTTCGGCATAGTTCCCCGTATTTTATGTGACAGTTTTTAGAGATACAGGATGTCCAGGTGTTCCTCTCCGTAGTTTCCTGTATCTAGGTGGCGGACGTGGAAGTCCAGGGTGTCCAAATGTTCCGCTCCGTAGTTTCCTGCATCTAGGTGTCAGACGTGGAAGTCCAGGGTGTCGAGATGTTCCGCTCCGTAGTTTCTTGTATCTAGGTACTGGATGTGGAAGTTCAGGGTGTCCAGGTAATCCGCTCCGCAGTTTTCTGTGTCCAGGTACTGGATGTGGAAGTCCAGGGTGTCCAGATGTTCCGCTCCGTAGTTTCTTGTATCTAGATACTGGATGTGGAAGTCCAGGGTGTCCAGATGTTCCGCTCCGTAGTTTCTTGTATCTAGATACTGGATGTGGAAGTCCAGGGTGTCCAGATGTTCCGCTCCGTAGTTTCTTGTATCTAGATACTGGATGTGGAAGTCCAGGGTGTCCAGATGTTCCGCTCCGTAGTTTCTTGTATCTAGATACTGGATGTGGAAGTCCAGGGTGTCCAGATGTTCCGCTCCGTAGTTTCTTGTATCTAGGTGTTAGATATGGAAGTCTAGGGTGTCCAAGTGTTGCGCTCTGTAGTTTCTTGTATTTAGGTGTTGGACGTAGAAATTAAGCTACCGTTCATACCAAATTTCCAGTTAGTATAAGGGTGCTTTCACAACAGTATAGAATTATTAAGTTTTTAATAGCATTCATGTGGAGCGCGCGTGTATGGATGTATGTACATGTGTACTTCGGCATAGTTCCTCGTATTTTAGGTGACAGTTTTTAGAGATACAGGATGTCCAGGTGTTCCGCTCCGTAGTTTCCTGCATCTAGGTGTCAGACGTGGAAGTTCAGGGTGTCCAAGTGTTGCGCTCTGTAGTTTCTTATACCTAGGTGTCGGACGTAGAAATCGAGAGTGTCCAGAAAAGTGTGCAACGAGCGACGCTTTGGCGCTTCGCTCAAAAAATAGTATCCTCTCTGTTGTTCGCACGGCCTGAGGTACATAAATAATCCAGCACACTTTCCTCTCTTACGATTACTACACGGCTTCAACAAGCTAGACACCATTAACGACGCTTATATGCACTGAAGGTTACATTTTCTTTAAAAATTTGTATATATCTTTATGCATTTCTAAAAAAAAGGGACTTACAAATTATATTTATATGCCATTAAACATTTTCCACGACGCAATATATTTTTCTGATTAGCGACATCATAATGCATTTACATATTATATCTATGAAAATATAGATTTCAGTGCTTAGAGCTTCTATGTCCCGTTGACCAACAAGAACTTGTGATATCCCCTAAAAAACACTTACGTGTAAAAAACTACGCCAGGTACAGGAGTGCTGTGTATTCCTCTAATAAAAAGTATTGATATCAGATTATGGAGGCCAAGTACATAAATCACTACATGTTTGCCTATTATGTGATCTGGCACTGGCCCATCATTTTAATTGTATTTTCAAAATTCTTATAACGTTTTCACTACTCTTCTACATTACTACTGCTTCCCGTAGTTGATTATGATTTAATGGTCATTTAATAATTAATAAAACTTTAGGTGATTCCTTAACGAGTACTACTTGGCAGGTCCGTGCCAGGAATTCCAAAGTACTTACTTTGAACATACTAATAGTATCCTAAAACTATATATTTGTTATTAAGCTTTTACCGTGATTATTTTTGACGAGTTATTGTTAATAAGCTCTATATAGAATGTTAACATTGGTTTTGATTAGGTGATTCCTTATCGAGTACTACTTGGCGGGTCCGTGCATTTCTTGACATAAATTTGCGTTCATTATGCTAGTTGTAAAACTCAAAACCAATGTTAACATTCTATATAGAGCTTATTAACAATAACTCGTCAAAAATAATCACGGTAAAAGCTTAATAACAAATATATAGTTTTAGGATACTATTAGTATGTTCAAAGTAAGTACTTTGGAATTCCTGGCACGGACCTGCCAAGTAGTACTCGTTAAGGAATCACCTAAAGTTTTATTAATTATTAAATGATCATTAAATTATAATCAACTACGGGAAGCAGTAGTAATGTAAAAGAGTAGTGAAAACGTTATAACAAATTTTGAAAATACAATTAAAATGATGGGCCAGTGCTAAATCATATAATAGGCAAACATGTAGTGACTTATGAACTTGGCCTCCATAATCTGATATCAATACTTTTTATTAGAGGAATACACAGCACTCCTGTACTTGGCGTAGTTTTTTACACTGTGACGTACTGGACCTCGTAGAGGCCCAGGGCCTCACAAAGACAGCTATCTCGATTACCGGCGGGAGGGGGGATCTCAGACAAAAAGAAGGGAACACGTGGTAAGATAAGAAAAGAAAGTATAATTGAGATAAATGGGGTTGATACAATAGAACAAAAGAAGAGAGAATATGATTAGAAATAAGAACCTTAGGCTAGAAGACGCAACTGAATAGGCACGCGTGTACTCACTCAGGAGCACGCGGCGTCGGAGGGCTTTAAATGGGCTCGGTGGGGAGGGGGTCGGGGAACGGAGGGGAACAATATCTGGGCGCCAGCTACTGTCACGGTGTAGCACCTGGGATTGGTGGGAAGGGGGGTCGGGGAACGGAGGGGAACAATATCTGGGCGCCAGCTACTGTCACGGTGTAGCACCGACGAGTGACCCCGAGAGGTCCTCGTTTGTTTACTCGACGTGATTGGCACGGCTAGCGGAGGGAGCCGTGAGGGGGGTCTCAGGGAAGAAGGTTCTTGATCGCAAAATAGCTTCTTTCTAAATTACCTCGGTTGGAACGCGAAGAGGGAAAAGGGGGTGAGAGCGGTGGGAAGGGCTGTGGGTTATCGGGGAGGGTCGCACGATACTAAACTTAGGGCGCACGCAATATACCACGGGCCTCGAGTTAGTCGGCGGAAGACAAGTCGCGAATACAAAGGAAAACTAGAAGAATGCCGGACCACGTGGGTCGGCTCGTGGTGTCCTGAAGGGACCTACAAAATCTATGACTCAATTGCTAAGGGCGGAGAGGGAAGAAGGGGTAGCTAGGAGATCGCAATCACTCAATGGTACTCACGCAATGCGCTCTTCACTCTGATATTCCAATGTGCACTCACTCACTTTACAATGCTCTTAAATAGTTAGCGTACCCGAAAATTAAATCGCACACTCTCTACTGTCGCCTGGCTCGAAGTGAAGAGATTTCCGGTCGTCCGGGTCCTCGTGGGCCTCCAGGACCTCGCTGATTGGCTGGGGCTGCTCAGCTGAGAGGGCTACGCGCTTCGGCATTGGTCGGCAGTTCCGGCATGGCAGGGCATTGGTCGGGTTCAAATCGGCTGTGTTGCCGGGCCTTCCAGGGCCTCGTGGCGGCGGCACGGCGCTGGCTTTGCCGGCTGCGCGCGCCGGTCAAGATGGCGGCCTCCAGGCCTGTCAAATCCTCCCGGACACGTCCTCGGTCTCTGCCGGCACGCGTGTGGGCTGCGCGCGCCGGTCAAGATGGCGGCCTCCAGGCCTGTCAAATCCTCCCGGACACGTCCTCGGTCTCGGAGGGAGAGGGCTCCGCCGCTGTCACACGGGACTTTTTCCTGCCCGTGTGACGGGACTGCACCGGGGCTGCATATATTGGTGGTGATGGTGGTGGCGGGGCATCCATCTCACGGGCGACTCGGTCTCGTGTTCCTCCTGCCCATGCCATCCCTGCCTTCCGCTGCCTCGGCGACGTAGCCGCTCTCGCGGTCCATCCAGGGATGCTGGGTCATCGTGGCAGATCCACGACGGTGTCCTCGATGCGAGTGTTTGTTGTTGCTCCTCGAGCCAGTGCCCTACGGGGAAGGGTGACAGGGAGGGAAAGGTGCAGGGAGGGGGTCTTAACTCTAAATACACTAAGCCTAAAACACTAAATAAACGCAATTAACAATACTTAACTCTAAGACGCTATACTCGAGGCCTATGGGACCTCGAGCCAGGAGGCGGAGGGGAGCCTGCAGTAACATTTTTGTTACAACACGTAAGTGTTTTTTGGGGATAGGCTGTAGCGCGGTCGTACATACAGGTCTTGCAACTCTCTTGGAGGGGGTAGTCTTCTTTTAGAAGCATTTTTCATTTCGCTTCATGACCACAAGAGGCGTTGCGATCAAGCGATCCGTTCCTATTTCTCTCTCCCACAGC